AAAAATTCTATAAGATGAGATCGGTCCCGTTTTTGAGATAAAATACGATCAAATTTTGTTGAACCGTGTTATTTTTAAATTTTTAGTTCAAGAATAATGCATTTGAATGTATATATGTATGTATGTACATATGGACCCTATGTATGTATCTATGTGTATCCGCACTTAACAAACCTAGCTTATCACGGCCATCACGAACCCACTGATTTATTACCAATGTTTTGTGGTTCCAATTAACATCGTGACTTTTTATTGAACTGGTATATCCGAGCTGCTAACGCAAATCACTCAAAAGGACATTGCCGACAGGCTTGTGCGCAAAGTTGAATAGCCTATTTGTGAATTGCGGCGCAAAGAAGAAGTTTAATAAACTCATTTTCAACGCGTCAGCAGTTATTGCACCTCGTTTTTTGGTGTTAGACAATATCCAGCATACTGTACATAAATATGCATGTACCCACACGAGTGCATTAGCATGCGATATATAAGTTTATTTATCCTCCCAGAAGGAAATGTTGTGTGCAATTTAATGTTGACCAGTGGTGTTAAAAATACCTGTAAAATAATATTTAAATGCAAAATACCAATACATCACACAAAAAGTATTTCAAATACAAATACAAGCTAGTTTTACAAAAATTTATATAATTGCAAAATACCAACCCTGCAAAAAATGGGACTAATCCAGGATGAACCCGGGAGCAATCGCAAAGGAGCATGCGACTAATACCACTTTTGATCTCTTTATATGGAATGAACTGATCGCTTTTGTTCGAGCATGTCCTATGAAGAGACTAATTGTACACCTTTATACCCAAACGGGTATAAAAAGCGACTAGTCACTTTTAAAAAATAAAAATAAAAATTTGAGCCAGCTGAGATTCGAACCGGGGTGCTCTGTTTTGTTAGGCGAATACTCTCTCTGTGTGCCAACGCCGCACATGAAATTTCATTGACTAAGTGCGTACATATCATTAAATCGATCTCCAATTATACACATAAGGGATGAGTCGAGACTAATAGACCTCCATTAGTACCCCTATGAGACTAGTTGGGACTAATCAATGGCCAATTGTACCCAATTGAGAGTAATCTCGGATTACTCTCTTTAGAGATTAGTCGCACAATTTTTTGCAGGGAAATTCATATTTTGAAAATACAAATACATTTGAAAATCACACCTACATAAATACGTATAAAACGTCGTAACCAGAGCTGTTAAATTTGCATTGCTATTAGTAATAATTAATTTTGTGCATTCTTAATTTTAATGATTATTTTAATTTTATTACATGACCCAGTAATTAATAATTAAAAGTAATCAAAAATATTTAAGTAATTGGAAATAATCAAATAATCAAAATTAGTCAAATTATTATTTTTAATTGTTTGATTATTTTTAATTACTTTATTTTTTTTTTAATTATGGCATTATCTTCAATTATTTGATTATTTCTGATTAAATTATTACTTTTACTATTTTTACGAATAGATAAAGCTATATTTGGCAGGCATATTTTTATAAGTTAAAATTAAATAACTGCATTCAAATTCACTGTACGTGTAAGTACTTGTACTGTAGTTTACAAATAAGGGCTAATTTCTTACAGACATGGTCAACTGTCTTCGCTATTCATTAGTACTTTCAGAAAGAATTTTGTAGAGCAAACATTGGAGCAGATCTAACGCATAGACATAGGTATGAGTATTATTGTAATGTATTATTGCCAAATTTGAAATAAATCATAAAATTGAAAACAAAACCAAAAGTAATTAAAAATAATCAAATATATATTAATCATAAAATTAAAAAAATCTAAAATAATTGAAAACAACCAAATAATTATATTAAACATGCAATTTCAAAAATCAAAAATAATTGCAAATAATCAAAAAATAACAAAAAAATCATGCAATTAAAATTAATAATTTTTTTCCTTAAGTAATTAATTATTAAAATGCAAATATCTGCATTTAATCAATAAACAGTTACCCAAAAAAACATGCTTTAATTATTATTCATTATGATTATTAATCATTATTTAAAAGGACTGGTTTAATGGCGGTGTTGTAGAGGAAAACTTTATGATAGGACGCATAAGACATTTTTTCTCATCTTCTCGATTGGGTATATTTGCATATAACTGCGAGTACATACATACATACAAATGTTTTTATGTTCAATGACTTTTTGCCTATTTATTGCAGGCAGTGCAAAAACTTATCTATCATTTGGTCGTCTGAAGCTATTTCGCGGCTGTCAGAACCAGGCTGGTTGGTTTGTACAAATTTGTACAAATGACAACGTTAGTCGCATATATTGTACGTACATAAATACCGAAATACATCTACGTAAACTTAAATGTGTGTGTTGGTGCGATTTTTGGTCCTTTTAGAGTTCAATGTTTGCATTACTGACACCTATTGTAGGTACTTAGTTATTTTGGTAGATTATACTACGTAAGTATAAATTGTGTCATTGGCGTAAATTGCTCTAGGTCATTTGGGGAGTGAACTGTTCGACCACGAGTAAAGCCTTACAATCTGAAACTAGCTAAAAATAAGAATTTTATTCCTAAACATATCTAAAAAAATTTGTTTTTATTTTTTCATTTTTTAACCCAAAATTGGAAATGGTGGATGTTATTTGCGCGAAATGCATACAGCTCTGTTATAAAGGAAATCGGGTATCCGCGGTTTTTTTAAATTCAATGATGTATTTGCGGTGAAGCTAATCCATTAAAGCGGTTCTTTAAAAAGAAAAGAGAGAGACGTCAAAATTTTGCATTCAAATGCTTCTAATGTAAGGACTTAGTTAAAAAAAGGGGAATGACTTCTCTGATTTTGTTGCTTTCGATAGTATTCGTCCGTTTCAACCATGAGAAGATTCGTTCTATAGTAGAAGTGAACTCAATAAGCGAAGCTAAAATCTTCAGCAACACATTGATATTTGATGCTGCCTTGGAAGTCAGATACCTTCTCCACACTCCCAACTCAGCAATATTGTTCATAAAACTCACAAGTTTTGATGAATTATTCAGTTACTTTGCCAACTTCAGACGACTTTTGCTTGGACACCGCCATGAATCCCTTAATAATGTATTGGAGATTGGCAAATCTTTCTTCGAGATCTGGGATATTTAAGTCCACAAATTGATTAAATACGGGCACACGGAGGTAGACTTCTGTACCACCTACTTGATAATTTACACGATTCGTCTGTCTACTTATTATTCTGTTATATATAACCTCAGTTATCGACAAGTAATTTTTAAGCAAAAAAAATCGACTTCGATTGCCATATAAAAATTGAATAGTACCGTTAATTTCTCCAAGACTTAATGATCGGATCTAAACCAACTTCGTATGGGACCACCCTTGAGGCTACACCCTTCCGATAGAAAAAGAATTATCGTAATCGGTTGACGTGGTCCAAAGTTATGCGGTTACATACATAACAACAAAAAAAATTATATTCCGACGATTTGATAATACTTGCTACAGAAAGTTTTCTCTCAGGAGTACTAGTGTTCTCCTCATCCGTGGGTACTTGGGTGTAATTGCCAGAGTCCTGTTACCCCGCAATGACTAATTAAAATCAGACCGCGCTACTGACTGGAGTAGGTACACCGTTAAAAGACATACAAACGTAGGGCCATTCAGTTCGCAAGTTGGGTACGAGTAAAGGCTGGACTTACGGATTTGATTTATCATGCCTTTTTTATAGGTTTTTATGTCCTAAGAATCCGTTCCCGGCTTATTAAAAATTGGCAGTCCAATTCTTTTAATTTGACATCTGATCTCGAACGAACGGTGCGGATGTGATGCCAGCGTTTATTAAATAATTGTAATTTAACTGTTCGACAGGTGGCAACTATTTTCTCCAAATTAAAACCATCGACTGGCCAAGCGATTTAACTTGACACCCCAAAATTATTTGTCGGGGATCCCCTTTTTTAATTGTGTGAAACGTAAAAAAACAAAACAAGAATGTGGTACTTCTCTCCCAAAAGAATTACAAAATTTTGTCAATTTTATAACTCCTAGTCCTAAATTTGCTATTTTGTATGCCAAATTTTTTTGGTCTTAAAGTTTTTTTTAAACTCTGAATAACAGAGCAACTCTTTATCCGATCTAAATTTTAATGATAAAGATTAACCGTTTCACTTTCCTTTAATTTTCTTTTCGAAAACCCAACTTTGTTAGGCCAGATAATTTACAAACGAATTTTTGCAACAAATAATTGTTAAATATGAAAAAATTTACATTTTCATAAAAAAAATTAGTATGAGGTTTTTTTTGGAAAAATATTGTACATAGTACGTTTGTACTGCATTCCTGAATATCGAATTTTATAAAACTGTCCATAGTGAACCCTGAACATATGTATGTATGACATTATTTTGGAGACTTGTCATTTAAAAATTTATGGCTGCATTTCTTTATTCATTCTGAACGTTTGGAATAAGCTTTTTTGTTTATTTATTCTTTAGAACGTTCCTGTTGATATGTTGACGTATATTTCAAACGCATTCTGTTTATTCCGGCTGTGAAATGGGATTATCCGGAATGTATAAAGAAACGCAGCCTATATTACATATCAAAAATTACAAATAGAAATAGTTGAAAGAAAAATTCTGTTGCAAAATACTTTTACGATTCAATTTAACATCATTTCTGCTGTTGCAAATCACTTAAAAATAATGAATCCATTTTAAATTTGACTTTTAAAAAAAGTGCTAAAATTCCGCAGAACTTATTTATTTAAATAAATTCATCGAACCAAAACCAAAGCGTGTTAATAATTTGGCAATACCAAATTTAATACAACAAAATTTTTTAATGGCTTGCACGTAAATTTGTGAGTTTTAGTGCTGCATAAAACGAAATTTTTCAATACCTTGCTTAAAGTTGTAATTGCAAAAGATTTGGATCCCAATTTTTTCTGGTAAAAAAGGAAAATAAAAAAATCATTGTAAATTAGTCATTTAAAATGGACCATGGACTCACCAGAACCCGCTAAGACGCATTACGTGCGTTGTTTAAAATGCAACAAAATTCTAGACTGCTCTCGCTACGACACCAACGCTCTACTCGAACATATTCGCACCGATCATCCCGAACTTGAAGTCGTTAATAACGGCAGCAACGGCATGCCACGCAACGGCAACACGGCCATGCGTGAAGCAGCTAACAACATAGTTGTGCCACACGAAACGATCGATGACAATGCCGCCACATTCCAGCCGACAATGTTGGAACGCACCGCTGGCAGCCAGTCCGAGGAGTTTGAGCGCTTTCAGCCCCGCTCCACTTCATCACGCGAACATATGCACATACGCTCACAACGTGGTAAGTTAATCGACCGTTTGACCGCATCTTTAGCGTTCGCTCTCATTTCAACATAATCAACTAAAGGTATCTTTAAAATGCCAGTCGACAGCCGAGACAAAATGGAAATGCCCAACTGTGATCTACGTGATGACCGCAGCAACGACGGAAGCACTGTCCATACGCGCCGCTACCAAGTGCACACGCCTTCGTCGCATTTTAATTACAATGAGAAACCCAAACGCAGCCTCTACCGCACTTCGATCGAAAAGTGGCGGCCCGCCACCGGTACTATCTACTGTCCAAAATGCGGTGCCAATCGTCGGCCGCTGATACGCACACAAACCGAACGCAGCTCCAACAATTCCTGCTGCGCCGTTTGCATACTCGGCTGTTGGCCGTTCTGCTTCCTGCCCTTTCTACTGCCCAATGACAACAAGGAGTACCTTCATTGCTCCAACTGTAAGACCTTCCTGGGGCTGTACGATCGCGCCAATAATTGTGTGAAGCCAAATCGGGAGTATTGTCAAACGGAGGAGACGTTGATTAAAGAGACGGATATGCGTGCGACGGGCGGGGAATGTAAGGAGAAGCGGAGTTGTCGGTGTGCTTGAAGAGTGGAAACTTTTAGCTGTACCGTTTTTCCATATGTTAGCTTTTGCGTTAATCATGTCGTATAGCAACGGAAAGCTTGTGTGTATGCTTTTGTGTATGTAGCTCTTTCCCTACACATTTTACTTCCTCTTTCTAATGCTTTTGACATTGAAAACTATTTTATGTACTTGTTTGGATTATATTCGTGCACGAACCATTTCGAAAGTGTTTTAGCTTTAAAGCTTTGCTGTAATACTAACGCTTTTGTGCTTTTTGGTGATGCAAAACTTTACACACATACATACATATATATTTACGAAAGCTTTGTGTGCTTGGTATAAATAAAGGTATAATTTCTTTATCCACTTATGGTGTGCGATTTTTTACCCAAATTGCGAAGAACTAAGGGCAAAACCGAAAGAATTTTGTTGTTAAATAGTAACAAGAAAATTTGTACAGCGACCTTTCAACCTTTCATTAGCACCACAAGGTAGGGCAGGATATTAATAAATGAACAATGTTGAGAAAACGTGCCACATGTCTTGGAAGAGTGACCAGAAATTGGCAGTTTTCTAGGGCTCTGTACCATGATTTCGTATTTTGGAATAGTTTAAACCATGTTTCGATTTTCAAAAATTATAAAGCATTAGTGCAAAAAAGGCTAAGGAAGCAACCTTATATAATGATAATTTTTTTAATTTAAAATCATGCATAGATAGCATGTAGTTAGTTTGGGGAACCTAAAAGTTGCAGTTCGGACGTTCCTAAAATGTACCTCATATTAAAGATAGCTTGCAATCAGCCGCAGGCCCTTTGGCGTAACCCAGGGTGCATCACGCGGAGGCGACCTGCTCTACACTCCTGCTCACTTATTAATCCTTCCAAAAAATTGTTTATGGGTCGTTGGTAGAACAATACGCGTTCTTTCTCACCACTGAAATTTAGGTTTTAAAGCGTGAAAGCGTAGCAAACAATCAAACTCTTTTTCGGATTTATAATATTAGTAAGGATAGTTTGTATCTCAGTATATTTTCCACTACTCTTAGGACTTTAAACAACATAACCTTAGCTGCTGGAAAGTGCTAGTTTTGATGAAATTTTATTTTTTCAGGCCTACTAGCAATTGCATTTTCTTCGATTAATTCATTTGCATTTGATCTCGACCGAGACATACTTTTGTGATTTAGCTTCTGAATAGAGAAAGCTTGATTCATTACCTTCCAAATGGTACCTCACTTTTATAAATAGAGCAAGAAATATTGAACATCTAACGGAATTCTCTTGACCCAACTTGAATTTTTTATCGATTACTGCCCCCCCATAATTAAAAAATATATATATATTTTTAAATCCATTTCTGTCAGTGCATTTTTTGTGCATTTTAGCTTTTGTAGTTAGTTAAATATTTCATAAGTAAATAAGTTCTGGCGAATTTCTGTTCTGGGTATTTAATATTTCTCCAACCCACGCTATTTTTTGATACAAAAAATTACATCGACGTCGTCAACCATGATGGGGCGAATAATATGCTGTTATATAATATGCAGTACCATCAAATGCCTTTTATTTTCGCCTATACCTACGGTGACTATCCGTCCTTTATTTTAAAGGACAGTCCTTTATTTTAACCCCCTGTCCTTTATAATTTTTTTCAAAATAAAGGACAGGTCCTTTATTTCTTAAACTGTTTTTTAAATCAGCTCTGCATTCTTCATAAATAAATAAAAGAAATACATTTTTAAACACAGAATATGAAAAATAAAAATGTCCCTTACAAAATATAATGAAAACCTTCGCCAGTTTGTTTCGCCCCCACTTAAGGGTTTATATTTATTCGGTAATCTTTGTACAATCTATAAAGGAGGATCGTGTTGCGCGCTGAGTTTCCAGTTCCACTTTTAGAAAACAATAAACCCCCTGCTGCACAGTGGTTCAAAACTGGCATTTAGTGTTCGTAATTTGATTAAGTTTTATTTTTTTTTTTATAAAAGATTACAATATTTGCAAGAGACCAGTTGAGCCGGATGTATGACATTTTATTTGATTATATTAAATTTTTTAGTGCAAAATTCAGAAAAAGTAGCAATTTTGAAGAAAAATACAAAACAATAACAAAAACATTTTGAAGAAAATGTATTCTCCTTTTCCATTTAATAAATGTCACATAACAAAAACTAGTTGAAAACAATTGTATGGTTCTCCCAAAACGAAAAAATTACACAAAAAAATTCTGAAATGTTATAAAAAATGTTAACCAAAAAAAATATTTTTTTTGGTTTTTAGTAAAAATTGGTTGAAAAATGAAGGCTCCGGTGAATTATATATATATACATATAGATTGGCGCTTACACATATGTTAGTGTTTGGCCGAGCTTCTCCTCCGATTTGTGGCGTGCGCCTTGATGTTGTTACACAAAGAGGAGGGACCTACAGTTTTACGCCGACTCCGAACGGCGATTGTATTTTTATGAGAAGCTGTTTTTCAAGGCAGAAATACACTCGGAGGTTTGCCATTGCCTGCCGAGGGACGACCGCTGTTAAGAAAAAACCTTTTATCTATATTTTTGCGATGTTGCTTTGACCAGGGTTTGAACCCAGGTGCTGCGGAGTGGAAGCGCGCACTGCTTACCACTACACCACAGCGGCCGACATCCGGTGAATTATGAACATTAAATTCTAATTTTGAACCACCGTGTGCTGACTTCGTCGCGCAGTATAAATTATGGAAAACGCATTTTCGCAGCAAAGGATGACGAAGTCCTTGAAAAGGATTTGGCTTCATTTTTCGCTACAGCAGGGGAACTTGTACAATTAAATAATATAATTAACTGGTAAATATTTGATTTAGATTATGATATGGATAAGGTACTTTTATCGTACAAGTTGTATGCACGTATTCACAAATCATTTTGAAAAAAAATGTCCTTTATTTTACGTTGGTTAATATGGTCACCGTACCTATACGACGTAGTTGCGTATGTAACGTGTACGCCCGAGTATAGCACCATTCGCAGTCATCTAAAATGTTTACTCGCACGCCTTAACGTAAAAGTCATATTATTTAAAAGTAATTAAATATTTGCGTGGGAGACTTTTACACAGTATTCTGTTTGTATATATATATTATTCTCTTAATGTACAATATAACAATTTCAGAATGAATTTCGAGTTTGCCAATAAAAATTTATAAAATGGAATTTAGTTTCTCAAATCATAGTCATAAAATTATTAAAATTTAAGAAAATCATAAAATTTCGAAAATTACAAAATAGCTGCGACAGGTATTCTGACAACGAAAAACTGAGTTATTTCGGTACTTTTTCGCCTAAATAATATTTTTGAGGCTGATATTGTCCAATTACTTGATTTACTTTTTACTATACTTATTTCTGGAATGCCATTGACTGAAATAAACGCAAGAATAATGCTTTGGCGTTTTTTTTTTGCCGAGAGAAAGGAGTGGCACTGCAAAAAAAAAAAACAACTCCTGGGATTTGCTCATATTGACTTCTTTGTGCGTTTTGAAATTTTTTTGTTTATGTCGCACGGCTTCGGCAGAGTTCGGGAGCATATTTGTTGACGGTAAGTTTTTGT